AGAGTTGAGGTTTTTTCTGTTGAGCCTTGGTGCTCTGTCTCTGTCTCTGTCTCCCTCCCTCTGTCCCTCTCTGTCTCTCTCATTTGTTTCTCTCATTTGTTTCTCTCTTTCTCCATGTGTGTTTGTGTATTTATGTATCTATATACACATATGTGCAGACATAGATAGCTATACTTACATGTCTACACGTATGCATATATCCACCACAGACAGTGGACACCATTGGCTCGCTTCTGCAAGTGAATGATAAGAAAACTGAGGGCCTGACAAAGGACGCTGGAGAACCCAGATCAGGAATGAGGAAGGAGAGAGGCCAAAGCCTTGGGCCCCTCAGCCTCCAGCTCAGCTGGGTTCTGATCCCGGGCTGGTCCCTTAGGCAGCCATGGCCCCTAGGCATCACAGTAGCATCACCCCAGGTGGAATCGAACAAATGGACCAGTGAATGAAATGGCCCTTGTTATTAGGCACTGACCATGCAAGCAAGCAAGACGGTCAGATGCAGCTGCCTTCAAGGACTACCATTCTAGTGGAGAAAGCGGACGCTGAGGAGGGCGCAAGGCCTGGGAAGAGGCCAGGCAGACCTGCAGCAGGGAACACCCCGCCCCAGCCCAGCGTCCCAGCGGCGCAGTCCGAGCCCCCGTGCCAGAGGTGGGCAGCCCGGCCTGGCCGTGGTCAGGAAGGGGGAAAGGGGTTGGAGTCTGGCAGACCTTAATAACTGTTGGTTCCTGTTGTGGAAGTCCCAGACATCTGTGGCACTAACTTTGAATCTTGGGAGCGCCAAGTGAGATCATGTTGGAAAGTACCTTACAAACTTTCTAATGCTGGAGGCACGTATTATTATTCATTGTTGCGTTCCTCACCAGAGGCGTCCCTTGAGTGACTGTGGATATTGGGAAGAGCTGGGTTCAAATCCTACCTTCTGCAGGACTGGCTTTCTGGTCATTGGGCAAGTCACTGAAACTCTCTGAGCCTCAGTTTCCTTATCATAAGAAGAGCCCAGTGATACACTCCTTGACTCACTGGGGTCTCGTGAGGACAGGACGGAAACACACCCTGCTCTTTGACCCTAGCTGTGCCCTTTGAAAATGAGATACACCGAGTACGGTGGGGGTCCCGGGGGTAATCACAGGGCTCCGAAGAGCTTGTTTCTACTGTTAAGGTTTCTGGGTGGTCCCCAAAAGAACTCTCCCGTGTTGCATGTGGGGAAGCTGAAAGGCAGAAATCATGCACCAGAGTGGTGGGGCTGGAAGGACCCTAAGCCGTCGCTGGGTCCGACTCCCTTATTGTACAGAGGAAGAAGCAGAGCTGAGGAGAGGAAGCCGCTTGACTCGTCGAGGTCGAGGTCGGCCAGGACCAGAGCCCCTGGCCCAGTGTCCTTCAGCCCCCCCCCCCCCCCCCCGGCTGTGGTGAGGATCCAGCCAGTTAATGATCGTGAAGAGCCCGTGGCACCTCGTAGGTGCTATGTAAAAATGTTAGGTGGTGCCGTGGAGATGTTAGTTGTTATCATTGGCCTAGAGGCGAGGCAGCGGCCAACCCAGGACCCTGGGGCACCCTGTGCTCTCGGCCAGCCTTTCAAGGTTGGCCTCTGTGCCAGGGCTAGTGAGGGCTGGGTGTGGGGCAGAGGTAGCTTCCGTCCTCCGGCTCCTCCAGCCCCACCAGCCCCACCGAGGTCCTTTGTACAATGGGATGTCTGGCCCAGGGTCAGGGCAGTTTGCCATTAGTTACTATTTTTGTTTCTTTTGTCTGGCGACCTGACCCAACAACTCCCTCTCTGTTCGCTAAGTGAGGGGGGAAGCAGGCGTTCTAACTTGATTTTTTTCTTGTATTGTACGCTCCACGAAGATAAAGATAGAAACAATGAAAACGTTATCTAGCCTTCAGACAGAAAGGCAGCCTGGTGGGGCCCGAGGCGCATATGGTAACGTTTTCCAATTTCAAAGGCTGTTAGAAATTACCCTAATAATTAATGGCCAGCCTGTGCCATGCAGGGGAGACCCAAGGCTCCTGGGGAGTCTCCCTCTGGGGGCTGCTTTCCCTTCGGCTTCCCAAAGGCTGATGAGTAAGAAGCAGACCCGGGGAGGGAGGTGCTCACATCGGGGAGCAGGAAGGAGGTCAGCTAGTCAGTCCACGAGCTCTTGTGTACCTGGCCCTGAGGTAAGCTTTGGAGCAATCCCTCCTCTTTTCAGGGAGCTCGTGTTCTAAGGGGGAGACAGTCACACTGATACAGACGGGACAAACACGGGGGCTGAATCTGAAAGCCTCACCTTGGGCATAGGGCCCTGGACCCGGAGGTAGGAAGACCTGAATTCAGGTCCCGCCTCAGAGACACCTGGGCTCCAGTTCGTTCTCTGAAGAAACGGGGGGCTGACCTCCACGGTCTCAGGTCCCTCTCAGCTCCTAACCTCGGTGGAGACGTGGGGGCTGGGGGAAGCCTGGGGGTGCCAGAGAGGGGATGCTTGCCCTAGTCGCTGGCCATTTGTTACTGACTTCTGAGATCCGTGACTTTGTCCTTGTGAACGTTTTCTTGTCTGGTGTGGTCTTGAGTGGCGGGTTTTTGCCTCTGGTCCAGTGGGAGGAATGGCCAGCTCGGTCATTTTCCTCCTAGAGTATTTATCTCCCGTGGCCTCAGTTTCCTGCTCTGTAGAATGAGGGCAGTAGGCAAGATGGCCTGTGAGGACCTTCTAACTCTAAGCTCATGGTCCCATGACTCTGGCGGGTGTTGAGCTTCCCGCACTGGGCTGAATTGGCATTCAGGCACACAGTTTGTCCCTGGCCCTAGAGTCACCTCCTCCCGCGTTTCTCGGAGGGGCCTTTCCCAGAGACGGTCACTGCCCCATCCCTCCTGGGCTCCCTCAGCCTTCTGTGCCATGGCTATGCCAGCTTCAGTTTCTCCTTCCAGGATGAGGAGGGGCCTGGGAGAATGCAGAAAATGAGAAGCCGGCACCCAACCCTTCCGTGTGGGCCTGGAGCAGTTTGGGGGAGAACAGGAGATGCACTCACTATGTTACTGACTTCTACTGGGACCCAGGGCTTGTCTTCAAGGATCTTGGGAGGTGAAATGGGAAGGATACAGCACTTGTATCCCAGGCTGCAAGACCTGGGGTGGAATCCTGCCTCTGCCGCTGACTGCCTTTGTGACCATGGGCAAGGTATTGAATTTCTGGGCCTCAGTTTCCTCCTCTGTAAAATGGGAGGCCTACACTCAGTGCTCCCTGAGGTCTCTCCCAGCTCCAAACCCAGCGATCTGGAGGCCTGGATTCACATCCCAGTTCTTTCGTTGATAAGCCGTGTGACCTTGGGCTACTCACCTAGACACCCTCAGCCTGTGTTTCTCCATCCATAAAATGGGGAAAGAGCAGCTGCCTTTCAGTCTAAAGACCCAGCTTCAGGATCCAGCTCTGCCATGACCAGCAGGCTGTGCATCCTCAGACATTGCTTAGGCATCCTGTCTGAGCCTTTATTTTCCTCATCTGTGAAGTGGGGATAATTTCAGTGAACATTTAAGAAGGCACCCATTCCTTGGTGGGCACTACCCCAGGTGCTGGGGTACAGACATGAATCTGTGCCCTCAAAAAGCTGGGATTCTGATATCAATTCCTGAGAAGCTCCTTCTGTCCGTTCTGAAAGAAAACAATAAATTACTTTAATTGAACATGCAAAAATAAAAAAAAAAGCTGGGATTCTGCTGGGATGCCAGGCAGAGACAGAGAGACAGAGACAGAAAAGAGAGAGAGGGAGAGACAGAGGGAGACAGAGAGACCGAGATAGATGGAGAGAGACAGAGAAAGAGAGAGACAGAGACAGATGGAGCGAGAAAGAGGGAGAGACAGACAGACAGATATTGAGCATTTCTAAAGTGAAGCCAAGTGACCTCAGGAGGGAGGAGGGAGGGGGATCAGCTGAGCTGGACCCTGCGTGCTGAGTCCACCAGGGATAAGCAGTAAGACACTATTTTCACAGACCCGTTGGGGTTCTTTTGGGAATCAGGGGACATAGTGCAGGGACGGCCTTAGAGCTGCCTCAGTGGAAACTATTTTTACTGTCATAGCAAAGATCCATGCAGGGTTCTATGCACATCCTCTCCGGAATGCTTCCCGAATAAACAAATGGCCCAGTGCTTCCAGGACCGAGCTTCTGGGAAGGAGCAGGCTTTCCTTTCCTGTGCCTGAGGAGCAGGACTCTCCCAATGGAAAGAACAGCCATGATTCCCGTAAAGTCTTCCTTCCAGTGACAGCTGCTTAGCGGAGGAGAACGTGCCTGGGTTTGAGCGTTCTCCTTTGCTGTTTTGGTGGTGGTTTTCCTGCCTCTTCTCCATCCCTGGGCCGCAGGACCTTCCTGCCCCATAGGCCTGGAGCTCATCAACCCCATTCGTTGGGCAGGCCTGGGCCCCGGGCCCTTTGTTCATGGACTTCTGTTCCAACTTGCTCTGGCTATCCTGGTTTTCACTGTCCCCGCCCAGAAGGCAGGGCCTGTCAGGATGGGAGCTGGGAGGAGGCCTTCACTGCCTTCCTGAGGGCCCAGGTGGATCCTTTGCTTGGAGCTGTCTGAGAGATCTCGCTCTTTGTGCAGTTTGTCAGCTCTGGGGCAGGTGTGCCATCTTATCCTTCTGTGCTAGCCCTCCCCAGGATCCCTGTAACATCCTAAGCACATGGGTAGTGGGGCGTCTCTGGCCACTGAGAGCTGCCTGCGTCCCCTCTCTGGGCCTCAGTTTCCTCGTCTGTAAAAGGAGGGGGTTGGATCAAGTGGCCACCGCCGCACCTATGATTCTAAAAATCTAGCTCTCCGAGAGGCTTCTTGAGGCTTACGGGGCTACGCGGAGCCTGGAGCCAAAAGGGCCTCGATCCAAGCCTCATTGGATCAAGCCGCCTTCCAGATGTGACATTCTCAGTGGTTCTGGGTGAAAACAGTGGCTTTGGGTTTTAATGGTCACTGGGAGAATGAGGCACGACGGGAGGCCTTCCTAATGCTGCTTTGCTTGTTTTTTGTTATCTGTGAACCAGAAAGTGGCGGATGGAGAGACCTGGACAGGAAGTGCCCTCTTCAGCTGGAGCAGGCCAGCAGTATCTGGGACTGCCTGCCTGAGAAGGGTCCGGACAGCTCCCTCTGGTCCAGAGACACGGCCGGCGCCTGCTCCGTGACCAACCTGATCAAGGACCTCAGCCTCAGCGACCACCACGGCAACCCGTCGGCCCCGCCCAGCAAGCGGCAGTGTCGCTCCCTGTCTTTCTCGGATGAGATGTCCAGCTGCCGGACGGCATGGAGGCCCTTGGGATCTAAGGTCTGGACTCCTGTTGAGAAGAGGCGGTGTTACAGTGGCGGGAGCGTGCAGCGGTACTCCAGTGGCTCCTGCGCCATGCAGAGGAGCTCCAGCTTCAGCCTTCCCTCTCGTGCCAACGCGCTCTCCTCCTCCTCCTCCTCCTTCTCGGATCAGGCCGGCTTTCCCGGCAGATTCGGGGGCCAGCCCCGCCACGGGATCCTGGGGGCGGCCGCCTGCACGCAGGCCGGAGACATCTGGCGCGGTGATTCGGGGCCTGCTGGCGGGCGCAGGATGGACATCCAGCGGTCCCTCTCTTGTTCTCATGAGCAGTTCTCCTTTTCAGAATACTGCCCCCCCTCCGCCAGCAGCACGCCCGCCTCCACCCCCGAGCTGGCGAGACGCTCCAGCGGCCTGTCCCGGAGCCGGTCCCAGCCCTGTGTCCTCAATGACAAGAAAGTGGGAGTCAAGCGACGGCGGCCTGAAGACCCTCAGGAGCTGAGGCCCTCCCTCGACCTTGCCAAGATGACGCAGGTAAGGCCCTCTCCCCCGAGCAGTCAGCAGCGGGAGCCCATGCCCCTGACGGGGAGTGGCCGCTGGTTCGTCCCAGTAGTAGAGCCTTGCCCGGGAGGAGTCGCCGTGGCTTGGGGCCGATGTGCCGATGCCGTGGGAGGGATACCGGGCTTCTCAGGGAAGCCGCTGAGCAGGACACTCCCTTCTTCACGCACTTCCTTAAAACCAGCTAGAATGCTTTTGAAAGGTGTGTGGTCTATGGGCCACTGCCCAGCCCCGTCCACTTCAACCCTGACCGCTGACGATCCTTTAAGAGCCTTTATCAGCAGGACCAGGGTGGCCTGGCAGTGAAGGACAGTGAATCGGGGGGAGATGGTGACCAGCAGAGCTCCTGAAATCTCTTTGACTTGCCCTCCCTCCAGTGTCTCCTCACCAGGAGACTCAATCTTTAGCTACAGAAAGAAAGGCCAGGGAACAGTGAGCCCGGGTGCTGCTGCATTCCGTTGAGTGTGATAGCAGGGGCATGGCAACCAGCTTGGGACAGAGAGAGAAAGAGAAAGCCCCCAGATTCCTTGGGTTAATCTCGATGACAAGAAAGTCTGATTGCTGTCCTCACCGTCACTGTGGTAATTGTCTGAACTGTGAACTCCAGACAAAGAATCCTTGCGGCCCTAACCATCTCCCTCGGCCTGGCTCTTCTTTGTTTTGGAGTCCTGCCTTTGTTAGCGCTAATGGCAACTCTGGACTATTGACTTGAATAGTGGGAGCACAAAGGCTACCACGTTCATTTCTCAGTCAGATCCCAGGAGTTGGAGCCCAAGCGTATTTGGTGACTGTTTCTAGAGGCCATTTCCTGTCAAGGACTAGTGTCCAGGTAGATTGGAATCCTGGCGATGGGAGCCAGGGTCTGGATGGAACTTGGGGGACGAGGAGGGTCCTGCCCAAAAGCCTGCCAGAGCCACGAGTGTCTCAGGGTCTCCATTAGAAGTTCTGTGTTTCCAGTCTTGGGAATGGGTAATAGATAATTGCAGAGTTTGGGGTACTTTCTGGAGAGAAGGGTTTGCTCCCCCGCTGAATTCCAGAATGGGCAGATCTATGCTCCCTCCCTCCAAGCCCCTGTTTCAGGCAGATGGTCCCACGTTCCTCCCTTCTTCACCAGTGGGGGTCTGTCGAGAGTGTCCGTAGGCCCGGGGGTGGCTGCGTTTCAGCTGTGAATGACGAAGCTGTTTTTATTGCTGAGGGCTTTATGGATGGGGCCAAGTTCATCCTTTCAGCCCTCCCTTGGTCTGGCTCTCAGGGATGGGGTCACCCTCCCCAGAAGAAGAGGGCCTCGTCTTGATGGTAGGGCCAGTCAGCCCAGCCCTTAGGCCCAGGCTGGGCTCCAGGACGGCCCATCTGAGAAGCTCGTCCTTGTCGAGGGACTGTGGGCTCCACCGAGGCTTGGTTCCGAGGTGCGCCGGGCCGCGAGGCTACCTTGATGCTCGCGGCCCTGGCTGCCTGCCATCATTCTGTTTTCAGTCTACCTGTCACCTTTTCTTTCCTTCTTGAGAGCTTGGCATTTTCTGGCCACGTTACCACAATGGCGCTTGAAGGCATTTGCTGCGGCAGGAGCCAGTGAGCTATCTTCCCTGTCTCAGGGCAGCCTAGACCGTGATCGGCAAAAGGCTGGAGAACCGTGGCTTTTGATGATTTCTGAGGAAACCCAGGGCTGGCCTTCTCTGCACCATCTTCAATGCTGTGCTTTTTTTTTATTAGCTAATAAGCTGGAGAGGCAGCACAAACAACTCACACACGTGATTTTTATGGACCACAAGCTGGGGTAACATCACCGGCATCACTGGAGACTTTTCAGGTCCTGGAGTTGGTGGACATGATTTTGAGATACATTGTTATGCCTAGCTGTGCCCAGGTATATAGGAAGATCACTTCATCTGCTCCTGGCTGGTCTCCAAGGAGGGGAGTGGGTGGGTGGCAGGTGTGGTGGAAGACCAAAGGAGGCGGCCGTAAATGTAAACAGGTGGGTGTCTCATCTCCCGCCAGGCCCTGGGCTTGTCAGACTCCACGAGGTAGTGGAGAGAAGGTTGTAGCCCCTCTGCCTGGTGTCCAGGCCAGACTCCTATGGTGGAAGTGCTCTAGAATTCAGTTCTGGACCCTGGCTTTTCAAGAGACACTTGAGGCCCCAAGGATCACCAGACATTCTCCAGCCGTTTAGGCCCCAGCCATGACCGTTATCCACATGTCGATGATCCCACTGAATGTGTGATGGGATGATTGACAGGCCTTCACTTCTTAGTGGAATCGAGGGTCGGGTGGGGCCTTTGATGTCAACGTGGAAGAGACTAATCCCCAGAATAAGGCACCCCACAAATCAATCAACAAGTATTTAGGAGGCCTTGTGTGTTCTGGGAATGCAAAGAAAAGCAAAGTGGGTCCCTGCCCTCAGTGGGCTCACAGTCTAATGGGGGAGGTGGACCACAAACCATGTACAAACCGGATCTAGACTGGAGAAATTGGAGATGATCTGAGGGAAGGCACTGGCAGCAGGTGGGCTGGGAGGTGGGGCCTGAGGAGAGCTGGGCAGAGGCCCCTTCCTGCAGGGTGGATGAGGCCCTGCCCAGTCTCCCTTCCTGGCGCCATGCCTGCAGAAAAGCAGACTCGCCCGGTGGCCGGCCTCTCGCCTTTGCTTGGTGGGCGGCTGCTTTTTTAGGAAAAAACTCCTCTGTTGATAGAATCTGTGGAGTGACTCTGTGTGGGGGTGCCTCGGTTTCCTTCTCAGTAAAATAGAGCACTCGTGTTGGTTAGCTGTTGTGCCTTCTTCCCAGGGATCATGGACTCGGAAGGAGGCAGGCAGGGATGGGGAAAGAACACGGCTTCTGGAGGCAGAGGATCTGGGTTCCAGTCCACCTGCAGTCCTTACTGCTTGTGTGAGTCACTTTCGCCTGCCTGGCCTTAGTTTCCTCACCTGGGAAAAATGGTTGGACTCCTGCCTTGGATGCTTCTGACACGTTTAACTCTCCTTGGGAGAGTTACTGAATCTTTGTGGGCCTCACTTTTCTCATCTGTAAAGTGAGTGGGTTGGCCAAGTTAGCCTCAGACAAGCGTTTTACCTATTTAAGGCCCCGTGAGGATGCCAGTGGTCATTCTCTTTGCAAAGCACATTCCTTGCAACACCCCTGGGCAGTTGGTGGGAAGCACAAGTCTGACTGTCCCCATTTTACAGGTGGGGAAACTGAGGCGCTGAAGCCTGTAGGACCTTGCCTCTCGTCACACAGTGAGCTGCTTGGGATTTCTGTGTGATACTCTGGCGTTCCCCTTGGGAGGCCTCTGCTGAGGTGGGTGGTGCAGCTCACGGCCGTGAACATGCCTGGAATGGCCTGATGTTCCTGACTCCGGCAGCTTCATTTTGAAACCATTGGTCAGCCAGAAGGAAGACAGGGGTCACAAGCTCCAGGACCAAGTCACTGGTCCACACCCCGTTTCTTTCATCAGGGAGGCCCAAGGAGAGAGGTCAGAAGGAATCTGATGAAGTTAGGCTTCATCACTGTGCTGGCAGGGTGCCATGGGGCCCGCCTCTCATCCCTTCTCCTGGGGAGGCTGAGGCGGATGGATGGCTTGAGCTCAGGAGTTCTGAATACCAAGGCCAGCACCAGTATGGCCTGGGAGGCCACGAGGCAGTCTGCCCACAGAGGGGTCAGAAATGGAACAGGAGCCCCTGGGCGAGAAAGGGACCCCCATTCTCCACATGAACAAAAACCTACCCTTGAATTGTACAGAAAACTTAGGAAACGTTCACTCCCGGCTTAGGCACTGGCCCCACGTCCAGTCCCCAGTAAGCTGCTAAGCTCCCCATGTCTCCTTGAGCCTGTTACAGGAGACTGGACAGAGAACAGGAAAGCCATCCTATTAGTTTGAGACAATCAGTGTCAAAGGTATGACTAGCCAGCTGGAGGCAGGGAAGGGCTGGGTGGGTGGGAGATAGAGCTTTTCCTTTCATCCTTCATCACAGCCCCCGGGCTACGCTCCATCACTGTTCAGAAAGGAATGCTGAGCATGGCGTGAGAGGCAGCTTAGCATCATGGACAGAGCCTTGTTTTGGCACAAAACGACCTGGGTTCACATCCCACCTCCACATCTTCCTGTCTTCGATGAGTCATTTCCTTTCCTTGAGGGTCAGTTCTTTTATCTGCCAATTGAGAGGGTTGGACTTTCAGGGTCGTAAGGTCTCTTTCAGTTCTAGATCAGTCCATCAAGAAGCATTTATTTAGTGCCTGCTGTGTGCTAGGCGTGGTGCTAGTTGCTGGATCCTATGATCATAGGAAATCTCTGTCTGGAGGCTTCAGTTCCTCATTTCCATGAATGCAAGGTGACTGGAAGCCCCTGGACCCTTCTCTCTTCTCTGCCCTGGAAATAAATGGTCCTACAATGTGAGCTGGTCACACACTGTTGAGCCCTTTCAATCACCGTGTGAACTCCCGTGCCTCAGGTACATCCCGTCTCTGGATATTTAGTTCACCCCAGCTCAACACCCCCCTCTTGGCATTCTGGGAGGAAGCATACCTTTGTGGCAGAGGTGTGAGCATCTCGAGAAGAATCCTGGGTGAATCCACAGCAGCTGGTGGACCACTCACTCACGAAAGGGGGAACGGAGAATTCCATAAAGCCTGTGGCGCTGACCCCACCTGAGCAAGACCAGGCAGGGAAGGAGTGGTGTTCCTTCACTGCCCACGTGGATCTTGGCACCTGGTGGGCCCAGAGCCCCCCAGCCCTGCTCGTGACAAGCAGGGCCCACAGAGGTAGGGCACTGTCGCCTCTTCTAGCTTGGGGCTCTTGAGCTCACTCACAAACTCACTTTTTCTGAGAGAGAGAGAGAGAGAGGGAGGATGGGTGTGTGTGTGTGTGTGTGTGTGTGTGTGTGTGTGTGTGTGTGTGTG